ACTCAATGCACAGTCATTAATCAACCCCAAGCCTAATTCTCAACAGTCTCCAATCTTCTGATGCATAACGAACAAGTTCTTACATGGTGAACAAGTTCTTACATAGTGAAAAAGTTCTTACATGGTGAACAGTGCAAGGGCAGTCATATCACAGAAACTTTCAGTTTTGATCACACATCATGAACTATAAACAAGTCAGATATGATTATTCGTTTGATTTTTATACTTGATTTATATGTGAATCCCACATTTCTCCCTTATTGTTATTATTTTTTTAAATAAAATGCTGAAGTGGTAGGTAGATGCAAAATAAAGGTAGAAAACATAGTTTAGTGTTGTAAGAGAGCAAATGTAGATGACCAGGTGTGTGCCTGTAGACTATGTGTTAATCCAAGCTAGACAAGGGCAACAAAACATCCACGGATGCAGAGATTTCTCTCAAAACGGGGGGTGAAGTTCTAAGCCTCACCTCTGTTCATCCCGAATTTCTCACCTGATGGCCCCCCTGCGACTGCCTGTCTTAGGTTGTTCCTCCCTTGAGGAATCTTACCCGTCTCTGGCTCCCATTCATTTTTAAGGATAAAAGTGTTTTAGGATTACGAATTTTCTTCTGAAGACTGCTTAAAAGGTATTTCATATTTTTTATAATAGCCAAAAAGTGGAAACAACCCACTGTCCATCAAGTGATGTATGGATAAATGGTAATACATCCATACAGTGGAATCTTACTCAGTAAGGAAAAAAATGAAGTATGGATACACGCTATAACATGGATGAACCTTGAAAACATGTAAGCCAAAGAAACCAGACACAAAGACCACATACTGTAATAGTTCATTTATTTGAGATGCCAAGATCAGGCAAACAGAGACAAAAAGTAGATTAGTTGTTGCCTTGGGCTGGGCATGCCGTGAGAGATTGTGGCTAAGGGGGTACTGGGTTTCTTTTTGTGATTATGATAATGTACTAAAATTGTGATGCGTGCACAGCTCTTATATACCAAAAGCCACTGTACGGTACACTTCAAATGGGTTGTGTGCTATGAGAATTATACCCCAAATAAAACTAAAGGCCTAAAAAGAGGACTGAACAAATTAGAAGAATAGGCCATTTTATGGACTAGCAGCTTGTGTTCGTAATATGTGCACACCGTTATATAGGGCAGAGGGAACAAGGAGAAAGGCCTGTAGAAAAGCATTTGCTGAGTTTCCCGCGCCTGTTCACCAAGACAGGGGTCCGACTCCGCCCGGAACCCCGCCTTCCTGGGATAGACTGGAGCACGCCCCGCCTACCGTGTCCATCACCTTCCTACTCTGCCCACAGCGTTGCCTTCGGCGTTGGCCTTTATAATGCTGAGCCGGCTGTGGATCCCAACCGCAGGTCCGTATCCCGCGGAAGCAGCCGCCGTCGCTGTCTCCGCCTTACGTCATCCTGAGGCCCTGCCCCTTGTGTATTCACGGGGCGGGAACCGGAAGCGGAAGTGCTTGCGGAAGTACGCCCTTCTCTGTACTCCTTGCCTCCGAGGTGGCGTCTCTTTTCCGTGGGCTTCAGGCTGGTCACTAATCCCTGGCCTCTGGCCTCCGGGATCGGCTGCGGAGTCGCGACGCGGACCCCGAAGCTGCCGCTGTTCCGTGGAGAGCATCCGCGCGCTCCTCCTGTGGGTATGGACCGCGGCTCAGGGCCCTTTCTCACCCGATGGCGCCCCTCTTCAAAAGCTGCCATAGCAGCCTTTGTACTCTGTCCAGAAGCAAAATCATTTACGCTGGTCTGGGAACGGCCCCAGCGCCCGCTTCTCACCGACTGGCATCTGCGGTGCGTTCCGGTGAGCACTGGACGGAAAGGATCTGGCTGTGGGCATCCGTTTGTGAAGTCTGATAAATTATTCAGGAGTTATTTTGTTGTACAGCGACCATTTGTTAATGTTTCGTATAGTGAATCTCTCCCCCTCCATGTATACAGCTAAATGTTTATGATAAACT